TTTTAAAAAATTATTTTTCATAACCATCCAAGCTGAAATTTTTAATAAATATTTTTTAAATAATCTTCAGAGAAATTTAAATATTGTTTTCAAGGACTCTAAGACGTAAGAGGTATAAGGTTTATTTTTCAAAAATATTTTTTAATGACGTTCTGAATTTTTTCTTTTCTTTAAAAAACTTTTTGAGAACTGTTGAGAATATTTTTTATATATATTTTTTTATTATTATTATTTTTTATTTTTTTTTGTGGAGTATTGGAGGCTTGTAATTTAAAATAATATTTGTTTTTTGATCATCATCACTTATTTTAAAATTATCTTTTTAAGGACTTTTAGAGACTCTCAGATATTAAGTTTTAACCATGAAATCTTTTTGTACAAATTTTTCCTGAAGACTTCCAAAACCATCCAAATTTGAATTTTTAATACATATTTTTTATTGATCTTTCGGAAAATTTGAATATTATTTTTCGAGGTAAAATAAGAGGTCCTTGAAGGCATATATTTTTTTAAATATTTTTTTAAATATTTTTTAATTACCTTCTGAATTTTTTTAATACTTTTTGAGAAATGTTTAGAGTATTTTTTAGAAATTTTTTATTTTTTTTTTGAGGACTATAAGAGGGTATATAGGGTTATCCATTCAGGGGTCCATTTTATGGAGGGTTACTAACTTTGTCATTACGTTCGTAACTTCACGAAATATTCATAATAGACCCTGCAAAGTATATATATTCTTGATCAGCATACAATTTAGCGATGTCCGTCAATCTGTCCTTCTGTGGAAATCACTCCAGCATCCGAACGAGATGAAGTAGATTGATACAATTTTACTCAAATGTGTATTATGTCTGCAGGACTTTAGGTATTGAAAATGGGCCATGTAGATCCACGTCTTCTTCTAGCCCCCATATAACGGTACCCCCCGATATTCGGTAATTTGATGATTTTAGCGACATTATTTACCGGAATTATTTCGAATTTCGTATATGAAGTTCGTAATGGGTACTACAGCCTACGACAGAATTTTTTTATATGCAAGTCCACGTCTTCGTACATCCTCTATATAGCGGTACCTCCCAATATTCGGTATTTTGATGATTTGAGCGACATTATTCATCGGAATTATTTCGAATTTGGGGTTAGGAGTTCGCAATGAATATTACAGCCTAAGACAGAAATTTGTCTATGCAGCTCCACGTCTTCGCACGGCCCCCATATAACGGTACCTCCCGATATTCGGTATTTTGATACTTTTAGCGAATTCCTTCACCGGAATTGTTTCAAATTTGGTATTTGAAGTTCGTCATGGATACTGCAGCCTATGACAGAAAATTGTCTGAGCAGGTCCACGTTTTCGTATAGCCCTTCATATAATAGAACCTTCCGATATTCGGTATTTTTATGATTTCAGCAACATTATTCACCGGAAATGTTTCAAATTTGTTATTTGAAGTTCGTAATTTGTACTACAGCCTAAGACAGGAAATTGTCTGTACAGGTCCACGTCTTCTTCTAGCCCCCATATAACGGTACCCTCCGATATTCGGTATTTTGATGATTTTAGCAACATTATTTACCGGAATTGTTTCAAATTTGGTATTTGAAGTTCGTAATGAATACTGCAGCCTAAGACAGAAAATTGTCTGTGCATGTCCACGTCTACATATAGCCCCCATATAAGTGAACCTCCCAATATTCGGTATTTTTGTGATTTAAGCGACATTATTCACCGGAATTGTTTCAAATTTGGTATTTGAAGTTCGTAATGGATGCCACAGCCTATGACAGAAAAGTTCGGCCCGGTCCGGCCTTACAGCTTTTTTGCTTGTTTTTTTTTTTTTAATTTTTAAGAGGTTTGTCTGCGGATCTGGGGAGAGAGTATTTTTTTAATGATTATCACTTAATTATGAAAGAGGTTTTTGAAGGAATATTTTTCAATTTTTTTTTTTAATTTAATCTTTAAGACATTTTTTTTCCAATGATCTTTCGTTATCATTTAAATATATTTTAAAAGGATTTGATAATTTTCAATAACTATTCAATGATCACAAGACTATTCGACGACTGTCGAATTCTCACAAAAGATGATCTTTTAAAAAAAACTTTTCTCGAGACTTGAAATATTTTTAAAATATTGTTTTATTTTTTAAATATTTTTTTTTTATTATTTATTATTACTAATTTTTGAGTTTTTAAATTTATTTTATTATTAGTTGACCATCAAATACTTCTTGTTAATTTTTATTGAAATTCGAATTTTCTCAAAGGTTGACGTTTTTAAGAATATTTTTCCAATGACTTGAAATGCTTTTAAAATATTTATATTTTAAATATTTTAATTTATTTATTTGAATTTATTGAAGAATATAACTAATTGGCCAACAAATATTTCTTTAATATTTTATTTTTAAAATATTTTTTTATATTTTAAATATTTTTTTATTATTTATTATTACTAATTTTTGAGTTTTTAAATTTATTTTATTATTAGTTGACCATCAAATATTTTTTTTTTTTAATTTTTTATTTAAATTCGAAATTCTCTCAAAAGATGACCTTTTTAAGACAATTTTTCCAATGACTTGAAATGCTTTTAAAATATTATTTTATATTTTAAATATTTTAATTTATTTGTTTGAATTTATTGAAAAATATAACTAATTGACCAAAAAATATTTCTTTAATATTTTATAGGGAAAAAATTTTGAAAAGGTAATCTTCCAACAAAAAAAAAAAAAAAAAAAAAAAAAAAAAAAAAAAAAAAAAAAAAATTGATGGCCAAATAGTAATATTCTTTAATAAATTTAAATAAAAAAATATATTTAAAAAAAAATAATGAAATAAAATTAGAAAAATATCTTAAGTCTTTGGAAAAATTTCTTTAAAAGCTCATCTTTTGAGAGTATTTTAAGTGCGCCAATTAGTCTCATTACCATTGAAAAGTTCTCAAAAATTCCCATTAAGACATTTTTTTTCCAATGATCTTTCGTTATCATTTAAATATATTTTAAAAGGATTTGATAATTTTCAATAACTATTCAATGATCACGAGACTAATCGACGACTGTCGAATTCCTACAAAATATGATCTTTTAAAAAAAACTTTTCTCGAGACTTGAAATATTTTTAAAATATTGTTTTATTTTTTAAATATTTTTTTTTTATTATTTATTATTACTAATTTTTGAGTTTTTAAATTTATTTTATTATTAGTTGACCATCAAATACTTCTTGTTAATTTTTATTGAAATTCGAATTTTCTCAAAGGTTGACGTTTTTAAGAATATTTTTCCAATGACTTGAAATGATTTGAAAATATTGTTTTATATTTTAAATATTTTTATTTATTGAAGAATATAACTAATTGGCCAACAAATATTTCTTTAATATTTTATTTTTAAAATATTTTTTTATATTTTAAATATTTTTTTTATTATTTATTATTACTAATTTTTGAGTTTTTAAATTTATTTTATTATTAGTTGACCATCAAATATTTTCTTTTTAATTTTTTATTTTTTTTTTATTGAAATTCGAAATTCTCTCAAAAGATGACCTTTTTATGAATATTTTTCCAATGACTTGAAATGCTTTTAAATTATTGTTTTATATTTTAAATATTTTAATTCATTTATTTGAATTTATTGAAGAATATAACTAATTGACCAAAAAATATTTCTTTAATATTTTATAGGGAAAAAATTTTGAAAAGGTAATCTTCCAAAAAAAAAAAAAAAAAAAAAAAAATGATGGCCAAATAGTAATATTCTTTAATAAATTTAAATAAAAAAAATATATTTAAAAAAATAATAAAATAATATTTAAAAAATATGTTAAGTCTTTGGAAATTTTTCTTTAAAAACTCATCTTTTGAGAGTATTTGAAGTGCGCCAATTAGTCTCATTACCATTGAAAAGTTCTCAAAAATTACCATTTCAAAGCCTCTGAGAGTCTTCGAACAAATATTAAAGAAAAAAATAATATATATATATATATATATATATATATATATATATATATATATATGTATATATATATATATATATATATATATATATATATATATATATATATATATATATATATATGAGAGTCTTCGAACAAATATTAAAGAAAAAAATAATATATATATATATATATATATATATATATATATATATATATATATATATATATATATATATATATATATATATATATATATATATATATTATTTTTTCTTTAATATTTGTTCGAAGACTCTCATATATATATATATATATATATATATATTTATATATATATATATTTTTTTTTTAATTCATTCTCCAATATTTTTTTCGAGAACTTTATATGTGTTGACCAAATGTAAAGTTTTAACGAATTCTTCTTCAATGACTATCTGTAATTAAAATATTTTTTATGAGGAGCATCTAAGGCTCTCGAGTGTGATTTTTTTTGTTAATTTCCATATAAAGACCATTATAAAATCATGAATTTACAAATACTGAAACAGAATCTACACCACTTCAATAAAACCACAATAAAATTCACATTTGTTTTCTCCGATTCTGAAATGACAAAAAGATTTCCATATTTTATGGCTTAAAATGAAGTTACTGATTTATTTTTAATTTATTCATATTTTCTTATTTTAATTTTTTTATTGAAATCACAATAAAATTCACACTTCTGTTTTTTCCGATTCTGAAATGACAAAAAGATTTCCATATTTTATGGTCTAATATTTAGTTACTGACTCATTTTAATTTATTCATAATTTTTAATGGCTACTAAATAATAACCTTATCTTTTTTTTTAATTAATTTTACGGATGTGGGCAATAAAAATTAAACAAATTTATTTTTTTAATAGTAATAGTCATTTAATTTAATATTTTTTATAACTTCTATTTCTAATTATGTTATTTAATACTTTTTTACATTTTTATGAAAATATATTAATTTTATAATTTTATTTCTTCTCTTTTCCAGTTTTTTATCACCCTCGGGCAAAGTGCAATTCTAGAAGAAAAGAAAAAACAAAACAAATATCCATTTAATGTTACAACATTGTTGATTATTTATTAATTAAAAAAAAAAAGAAATCAAATACAAATACGTTTCAAAATGCTGAATATGAAGAAAATATTGAGGTAAGTTATTAGTTATTAAATATTTTCATTTTTCCAATAAAAACGGGTTTTGGAATTCTAACGAATTTATGAGAAAAACAAGTAAAAAGCTGAAAGTTCGGTTGGGCCGAACTTTAAATACCCTCCACCATTTGGAACGAATTTGGCAATTTTCAAAAAAAAAAAAAAAAAAAAAAAAAAAAATCTATTAAAAAATTCTGTCAACATCTTAATAATACCGAATGTAGCTGTTATATTAGGGTCTATACGACGACGTGAACCTGCATATGTAACATTTGTCATAAGTCATTACAATATTCAAATGCGAAACTTAAAAAAATCGGTAATAATGTAGCTAAAATCATCATCAAAATACCGAATATCGGGAGGCACGGTTGTATGGGGCTATATGAAGACGTGCACTTTCACAGACAATTTTCTGTCATAGGCTGTAGTACCTATTACAAACCTCGAATACGAATTTTGAAATAAATCCGGTGAATAATGTCGCTAAAATAATCAAAATACCGAATATCGGGAGGTACCGTCATATGGGGGCTATACGAAGAAGTAAACCTGCACAGACAGTTTTCTGTCTCAGGCTGTAGCACCTAGTACAAACCTTGAATACGAAATTTGAAACAATTCCGCTAAATAATATAATCAAAATACCGAATATCGAACGGTACCGTTACATGGGGGCTATACTAAGACCTGGACCTACACAGACAATTTTCTGTCATAGGCTTTAGTATCAATTACGAATTTCAAATACCAAATTTGAAACGTTTCCGGTGAATGATGTCGCTTAAATCACCAAAATACCGAATATCGGAAGGTACCGTCATATGGGGGCTATACGAACACGTGGACCTGCACAGACAATTTTCTGTCATAGGCTTTAGTATCCATTACGAACTTCAAATACCAACTTTGAATGAATTTCGTTTAAAAATGTCGCTAAAATCATCAAAATACCGAATATGGGGAGGTACCGTTATATGGGGGCTATACGAAGACATGGACCTGCACAGACAATTTTTCGGTCATAGGTTTGAAAATCCCTTTCGAACTTTAAATACCAAATTTGAAAAAATGTAGATGAATAATGTGGCTAAAATCATCAAAATACCGAATATCGGGAGGTACCGTTATATGGGGGCTATACGAAGACGAAGACCTGCACAGACAATTTTCTGTTTTAAGCTGTAGTATCCATTAAGAGCTTCAAATACGAAATTTGAAACAATTCCGGTGAATAATGTTTCAAAAGTTGTCGAAATACGGAATATAGGGAGTTACCGTCATATGGAGGCTATACGAAGACGTAGACCTGCACTGACAATTTTCTGTCTCAGGCTGTAGTATCCATTACGGACTTCAAATACCAAATTTGAAACCATTTCGGTGAATACTGTCGCTTAAATCACCAAATGTCGAAAATAGGGAGGTACCATTATATGGGGGCTATACGAACACGTGGACCTGCACAGACAATTTCTGTCATAGGCTTTAGTATTTGTTATGAACTTCAAATACCAAATTTGAAACGTTTCCGGTGAATGATGTCGCTTAAATCACCAAAATACCGAAAAATGGGGGGTACCATTATATGGGGGCTATACAAAGACGAAGACCTGCACGGACAATTTTCTGTCATAGGCAGTGGTATCCATTACGATTTTCAAATACCAAATTTGAAACCATTCCGGTGAATAATGTCCCAAAAGTTGTCGAAATATGGAATATAGGGAGGTACCGTTATATGGAGGCTATGCGAAGACGTGGACCTCCAGAGACAATTTTCTGTTATAGGCTGTAATATCTATTACGAACTTTAAATACCAAATTTGAATGAATTTCGGTTAAAAATGTCGCTAAAATCATCAAAATACCGAATATCGGGAGGTACAGTTATATGGGGGCTACACGAAGATGTGGACCTGCACAGACAATTTTCTGTCTTAGGCTATAGTATCTATTACAAATTTCAAATACCAAATTTTGAAATAATTCCGGTGAATAATGTCGCTTAATTCATCAAAATACCGAATATAGGGAGGCCCTGAGCTGGAATAGTGTTAAATATCAAATTTCCGTATTAAATGTTCCATTGTTGTCATTTTGAGAATTATTTTTCATTTTTTTTTTTTATAAAATTCCTACCAAAATTTTTTCTTATCTCTTTTGGTGGGAGGTGTTACCCACCAATTAATTTTATCTAATTAATTTGACGCCCTTAAGTCTGCTACATTATTTTTTTTAACTTCGAACCTCTGCTTTGAAAAAATATTTAAATGATCTTCGAAAATACCATCAATTAACCAAAAATGTTTGGTGAACCATAATTAAAAAAAAAAAAGAAAATGTCAGATAATTTCCTTAGTGAAAATGCAATAAATTATAATCTTCAGGGAACACCCCCCTCCCCCACTCGCCTAATGTAATTAGCTTAATATTAGTTTTTATGGTTTTTTAAAGATATTGCATTGTGTAATATTGTCAAAAAGGGAAAAAACAACTAAGAACCAAGTTTGTAAATCTTTGAAGGGCCAGAAACTATCCACTGCGGCGGTGGAGTGGGGGTAGAAAAAAAGATTGTTTTGTAAATATGACACATTGAGGGATATTTATGGGGGACCCAACATCACCACCACCACCACATGATGTAAAGAGGTGGTGGGTGGTAGTGGCTCTAAGCTATGATTACATGGTGGCTACCACACACAAAACCACACAGGGAGAGACAGAGAGAGGCCCAAAAATATGTGTGATGCCTCCACAACCCTAATACTCGAGAGTTATTCCGGCATTCTTGCAGCATCTTCAATTAACCGAGCCCATAAAAATTACTACCGAAACACCCAGAAACAAGAAAATTCAATAAAAAAAACTAAAACTTTTGTTACGCATTTTTGTTTTTGTTTTACGATCATAAAAATTTGACTAAATAGTTTTTTCAATTAAAAAAAAAAAAAAAAAAAATAACAGCAACTTTTTGAAAGTGTGGAAATTTCATAGAGAGAGTGGAGAGAGGGGTGTAAGCCAGTCCATGAATCATTTCATTGACTATGGGTGGATGGGTTAAATAATCAGTTCGAAAAAAATTACTATTTGTTGAGGAATCTTGGTGTGCGCTCCGAGATAGTGGGAGTTCCTCTAACCAAAAAAAAAAAAAAAAAAAAAAAAAAAAAAAATTAATAAAAACTAATATACTTATTTATATGTGTGTGGTTCGGCTAGGCTGCTGGTGGTTTCAATTTCATAATTAAAATCAATCTAAGTTGGTTTAATGGTTTATTATGGGTAATAAAACTACATTAATTTTTGGGTTGCTAACCCAAAAACTAATAATTTTTTGTAGTTAAAACTTTGTCCCCACACACCTACCCCCTCCATCCAATGGTGTCACAGGAATGCCCATAAATAAACCATAAAATTATTCTAATTGTAACAAAAATATGAACTTTCTTGAAAAGCTGTTTCCGTTGTCGCGTTTGTTTTGTTTTCGTCGAGACAAACAACAAAAACAAATAAATTTTGCCCGAAGTGAGGTTAGGTTTTTTTTTTATTTGTTTGGATAAAATGTGTGTTTTATTGTTTGGGCGCCAAAATTATTTGGATAAAGAAAAATAAATAATGTTGCTGGGTTTTTTTTTTTCAAAGCTTCACAAGGTCCAAGGTAATAAAAAAATAAAATTGGGATTAATATGTAACAGCTGGGTTTAAATTTTTTTTGCCAAAGGTCTATCGTAATCGGCTTTAATTTCAGCCATTATAAAATTAAAAAAAAAATAAATAAATAAATATATTGAAAAAATCGTCGTGGTCCTTGAAAAAATATTCTTTAAAAAATCCACGCCTTTTGTGGTCGTTGAAAAAATATTCTTAAAAAATTCCACGCCTTGTATTATCCTCTCCAAAAATATTCTTAAAAAATTCCACGCCTTGTATTATCCTCTCCAAAAATATTCTTTAAAGATTTCACGCCTAGTATGGTCCTTGAAAAAATATTTTTTAAAAACTCCACGCCTTGTATAATCCTTGAAAAAATATTCTTTAAAAAATCCACGCCTCTTGTGGTCGTTGAAAAAATATTCTTTAAAAAATCCACGCCTGTGAATGGTCGTTGAAAAAATATTCTTTAAAAAATCCACGCCTTGGATGGTCGTTGAAAAATATTCTTTAAAAAATCCACGCCTTGGATGGTCGTTGAAAAAATATTCTTTAAAAAATCCACGCCTGTGAATGGTCGTTGAAAAAATATTCTTTAAAAAATCCACGCCTCTTGTGGTCGTTGAAAAAATATTCTTAAAAAATTCCACGCCTTGTATGATCCTCTCCAAAAATATTCTTTAAAGATTCCACGCCTAGTATGGTCCTTGAAAAAATATTTTTTAAAAACTCCACGCCTTGTATAATCCTTGAAAAAAATATTCTTTAAAAAATCCACGCCTCTTGTGGTCGTTGAAAAAATATTCTTTAAAAAATCCACGCCTCTTGTGGTCGTTGAAAAAATATTCTTTAAAAAATCCACGCCTCTTGTGGTCGTTGAAAAAATATTCTTTAAATAATCCACGCCTTGTGTGGTCCTTGAAAAAATATTTTTAAAAAATTCCACGCTTTGTGTGGTCCTTGAAAAAATATTTTTTAAAAATTCCACTCCTTGTGTGGCCCCTGAAAAAATATTTTTTAAAAATTCTACGCCTTGTTTGGTACTTGAAAAAATATTTTTTAAAAAATCCATGCCTTGTATGGTCGTTGAAAAAATATTTTTTAAAAAATCAATGCCTTGTTTGGTCTTAGAAAAAAATATTTTTTAAAAAATCCACGCCTCTTGTGGTCGTTGAAAAAATATTTTTTAAAAAATCCATGCCTTGTATGGTCGTTGAAAAAATATTTTTTAAAAAATCCATGCCTTGTATGGTCGTTGAAAAAATATTTTTTAAAAAATCCACGCCACTTGTGGTCGTTGAAAAAATATTCTTTAAAAAATCCACGCCTCTTGTGGTCGTTGAAAA